GTGCGGGGGTCGCGGAGGGGCCGCGGCCTCCATCGGGGCGCCGGGCGCGTGTGAGCGGCGCGGGGGGGAGGCTGGGGCCGCCGTGGCCGCTCGCGCAGCCGCTCGCGCAGCCCTGGCGCAGGAGCCCCGTGCAGCAAGCGGCTCGGTGAGGTGTGCGGGAGGCGCCTGCCCTCCTTGCTCTGTCCGCAGGGTGTCTGGAGACCAGGGGCGGTAACGGGGCCAAGCTCCCTCCCGCGGGAGCCGGGCCCCGGGGCAGGGGAGCCAGCACCAGCTGGGCTCTCCTACAGCATGTTATTCAAATATCACTGCGAATGATACATTAGTCTTTCGTGGAGCTTTCTATATTTCATAGAGAATTAGGTATGGCAAAAATTAATGCCTGGGGTGGTTTTTCTTCCTCTCCTGGTTATTCCCTAATGGAAGCGCTGGTGGTGTCAACAGTGGGCTCAGTTCCGCTGCAACACCTGAAGCCTCCCCGGGCCAGGCTGGGAGCCGCAGGCTGTGGACACGAGCAGAGCGATGCTTCCTTCAGCTCTGCTGCAGCAGAGGAAGATGTAGATTCTTCTTTCCCCTCCCTAGTCCACGGGGTAACCTGTGCCAGTTCTGCAAATAAGTGTGCAATTTTGTGTACTTTTGGGTGGAGGCGCCGTTTCGGTGTGTTACATAACTAGGTGCCTCCCGTACGTTCCTGCTGCCCGGCGGCTCTCACGTTATCTGTGCTCACGCAGGTGACTCTCTTCCACTGGCCTGTAGTCTCCAAGTGATTAGTTATAAGCAGCTCTTGTGGGCTGGCAGGGCAAACGAGAGGCACGTGCTTGCCCTCAGTGAGTCCACCTGAGCAGGGGTTGCTCCAGGAAAGGAGCCTTTGGGATCACAACCCATGCACCTTCCTAGCTGTGACCAAAGACAGGAGCATAAGAGAAGCCCTGGCTGCCTTTGAGCACACACACAACCCCATATAACCCCTTCAGACCCCGATCAAACTTCATCCTCAACCTGCTTCCATCTAGGAAGCTCCCTGTTCTGATGATTGACATTTTTTTTTCTCCCTTTCTCTCTGATTTTTCAACCTAAATGTATTCACGGTGCATTCACTTGTTGTGTCAGCCTATCCTTTTGCTTCAGCAGTTCTGTTTGGCTTCGGTGATATATTTAGAAAGCAATCCTATCTGTTCTCTGCCTACATTTGGCTAGGCTAAAAAAGCCAGGTTCTTAAGTTTCTCCTTGTTTGATAGGACTTTGCCTTCCCCCAACATGTTTGTGGCCTTTTCTGCACCTGTTCATTTAAGTTTGTCATTTTTTAAATGTGGGTGACGAGAATGTTGCGTATGATGCTCCTGTCCTCAGTGCTTGCACTGATGTGTCACTACCCTGTCTGACTGTATTTGAGTTTCCAGCGACCACAGCATCTCTGTAACCTCCAGTCCAGCTCTCGCGGGTGACTGCTTTGCTGAGCTGCTCTCTGGTTATTTTTCCTAACTTTTCTGCCGAATTGCAGACTTGTCTAGGCCAGTCCTTGCAGCTGAGATCTCACTCAGGCAATCTCTAAAGCCACAGGGCATGGGAGAAGCCAGGCTTGAAAATGCACCTTTCCCTCAGGGCATCCTTCTGGCTATACCTAAATCATCCCATTCTGATGCTGCAAATTAACAAATTTACAATTTCGTTGCTACGAGAAGCATCTTTTGGCTAAGTAAATTCTTCTTTTCTTGGACTGTCTTATGCACAAAAGTGTGGGGAGGAGCCCCAGATCATTGCAGTGTTTGCGTAGGCCGCAGCGTTTAGCTGGTGTCCTTCTGTCTGTTGTGTCCTCATGGACGAGCCTTCTCCCCTGAGCTACGCTGGGTGTTTTGTTTAGGCCCTGGTAAATATGCTGGCAATAAACAGCTCCCCTTCCCCCTAGAGAAGGCAAATTGTTAGGCTCAGCTGTCTGCCCGGGGGCATTGTCGCTGTTTCAGAGGCTGGGGACTGAGTTGCTGGAGGGATGGACGTGGCATGGGCATCAGAAGATGGTGCAGAGCCCTGCTGGCTGCGCTTGACCTGACAGTGCTCCTAGCCTTGGCGGCAGCTCCCGCCTTTCACAAGGGCTCCCGCTGCCCTACTTCTTACATAATTCTCCCAGAAGTAAAGAGTATTTTTCTCTGCCTGGCACTGTGAAGGAGCAACCTCTCTCCCGTTGCTCCCTGCTCGAAGGGAAGTGTTTGTTCATGTGTCTGCGTCTGCCCGGATCCGTGCCCTGCGCGGGGTGGGATCTGCGGTGCGGAGCTGTCGGCTCCCTGCCTTTCCGCCCAAAGCGGAGCTCTCTGCCAGGCCCTGCAGCTATAAATGGATCTGGCCTCTTCCAGCTCCTCCATGTGATGCTGCGGGAAGTCAGGGCTGGGCCAGGCTTCCTCTTGATTAGGAAAACATACGTTCCCACCGCTGGCTTTTGGGAGGTTCTCTGTAAGCAGCGAGCCTGGTTTGAGGACAGCTCTGTGCCCCGGGGAGGGCCTTGCTGAGCTCCTGCTTGCACAGGGAGAGGTTTTCCCTAGGCTTGGA